AGTTTTGGACAGCACCGCTAATATGCGATGCGCTACTGCCTTTCGCTATGCCACGGAGACCACGCGACGAGTCCGGTCACCCACGGCGAGTAATCCTGGACAAGTCGGCATGTGCCGCAGAAGACTATCTACCCCGCAGAATTACTTCGGGTCTTCGAGACTCCGGCCACCCACAGCGAGTCGTCCGGGTCGAACAGGACTTGTAGGAGCCGCAACGCGGCCGGCAACGCGTCTCCCACTTCTGGTCCGATGTCGGCCTTAGTTATCCCTGCGAACCAGCTCAAGCTCGGTGCGAATGCTGTCCGCGAGGCAGGCTCGGCACTACTCCGTGGAAGCCCCCACATTCAGCAACCCGCCGCAAAACACACAAGTCTTGGGCATCGGAACATCCGGGTCTGCCACAGCAACGTGGAGCGACCACGAGGCCAAGGCGACCCATGGAATTCGAGCGAGCTGCGGCAGCAGATGGCACGTCAACAAGAGGGTCGCGCCAGAGAGGCTGGCCTAGCTGCCAGCGGCGACACGTGGCCAGCACCTCGTGAATCCTTGCCCCCGGACGATCATGAAGACTGTTGAGTTCGGCAGCGAAGATAGCTCGCCACACGATCGGCGAGACAATGTCTGCGGCCGCCAGCCCCGAGGACAGCTCCGTGCGGCGCTCCCGGGACATAATGCTGGTGCAGACAGACAACGCCCGTCTAGCCTCAAACGGATCGATCGCAAGGTCGGGGCACACCAACTCTCGGCTCCAAGGCCCCAGAAAGGGGAACTGGAATCCACCCAGTCCTTCGTTGCAGCGTCTGCAGGTTGCATCCGTACAGGTGTACCGTCGCAAAGGCACTGAGCAAGCCCCGCAAGCAAGACCACTGTGCATTTCGTGTACCACCTCCCAAACCGAGCGCCACAAGGACCAGAAGACATCTTCGCGATGCGCCTCATCGAGAGCTCGCATGTGTTGCAGGAAATCCACCAAATTTTCTGCAGACAAAATAGGCCGCAGCGTGTGGACCACGTACGTGTCAGTCCCCAGGACATTATCCATGCTGCACGCAAGGTCACAAAACAAAATCTATCCCAGCCACCTACCTACCTACCTGACTGTACCTTTAGAGTCGAAACAAAAATGTCAGTGTTTTCGACCGGCGAAAGGTATGCAAGCAATCATGTGCGATGCATCTGCTACGCTCGCAAGTCGGCGCTTCGCGTAAAAACCCATTTTGCACCGAAAATACCCTTTGGAAAAAGCTAACGCAGACAGCTTGGGCAGAGTTCAAGTCACCAAGGCAGGAAAACAGCCCAACGAGCCCGGCCACCCACAGCGGGTAGTCCTGGACCAATGGAGAATCGCCGTCTCGACGGGAATGTCGGCACACGCAGAAGACTCTGCATCTCACACGCAGGCAGTGCGGCTCGAGAGAACTGAAGAGTCCTCTAAAGATCTTTTGCGGGAACAGGGTGTTTGGTTTGCGAGAAAGGCCACCTGCACGAGGTCCTTGAGAAACAACCAATTTCTAGGCGGAAAGTTTTGTCGCTCCAGCAACGCCGCTGGAAGTAGACGGCCATCGTGCAGTAGATCCCTTTTCGACCGGCGAAAGGTATGCAAGCAATCATGTGCGATGCATCTGCTACGCTCGCAAGTCGGCGCTTCGCGTAAAAACCCATTTTGCACCGAAAATACCCTTTGGAAAAAGCTAACGCAGACAGCTTGGGCAGAGTTCAAGTCACCAAGGCAGGAAAACAGCCCAACGAGCCCGGCCACCCACAGCGGGTAGTCCTGGACCAATGGAGAATCGCCGTCTCGACGGGAATGTCGGCACACGCAGAAGACTCTGCATCTCACACGCAGGCAGTGCGGCTCGAGAGAACTGAAGAGTCCTCTAAAGATCTTTTGCGGGAACAGGGTGTTTGGTTTGCGAGAAAGGCCACCTGCACGAGGTCCTTGAGAAACAACCAATTTCTAGGCGGAAAGTTTTGTCGCTCCAGCAACGCCGCTGGAAGTAGACGGCCATCGTGCAGTAGATCCCGAAAAAGGTCGAAGACACCCACCTCGTTCAGCACGACGCTGCTGGCCCGCCTTCGAGCGTCTTCCCACCAAGACAAACACTTGCTCATCATCGTAGCAACCCAGAACTCGACGAAAGCCTCCACGCGCTCCGATCCCGTCTTTGTGACATTCGGATCCAGCGCGATTTTGCTCGCGGCATCGTAGCTCGTGCGAATGGCTTTGTAAAGCATACTTCGAAGCTGTCCGTCGGCTCGAGAAACGCGCTCTGTCATGCAAGTCCACACCTTGTCGTCCACGGTCAGAACCGCCATCCACTCCGCGTACTTCTGTTCAAGGAAGAGCTCCACTTCGGGCCACCAGCCGTCATGCGCGTATAGCCAACGGAAAGCCACACAGATGGCCCCGGACAAGTCAGTCTCCAAGAACCAAAAATGATCTTTAAAAGCGCGGCTCAAGTTTGTCATAGCACAATCCACGTATTCCGGAACCGCCTGCTCCCAGAGACCCGTTCTGTGCTCCGGAGATTCGGCCTTCGTAAGCAGATGTTCAACAATGCGTCGACACAAATACGAGGGTCTCTTGATTTGTTTGTTCTCGTCTTTTCTCTCACAGGCAGGGCGCCTCTCCAGCGATTTGTGTAAAGCACAACGCACCCTCTCGAACACTTCTTCACGTGCAGCAAGACAAGCCGAGTCGTCAAGGTTCTCCTGGCGCATGAAACCGAACGTCTTTATTTCTGCAACCTCCGAGGAGATGCTTTGGCCTGGGCGGGGTCGTACGTTCATGGCTCCGAGACCGAAAGCGTGTTCGTAAAGAAAGAAGCAGACTTCGGCACCGATTCCAGAAAGCTCCTCTTGCACGTCTTCGGAAGCCAAGTAAACACGGCCTTCATGCTCATGCGCTCGCGGATGATCGATGCAGCATTCGGGCGTTATCCATCCGAAGTGCCCGTACCAGCTGTGTATGCGGCCGCGAATGCGACGCAGGTCGATATTCCACTTGGATCGAAGCGGCCGCACGTCATTCCCTTCGTGCGCATTTCGCATGGCTAGAAGTCGGACAACGTCCGTCGCACAGAGTCCAGTGCTCCTATCCTGATCAGATCCGAAAGCGGGAAAAAAACGACACAAGAGCGATAGAACTGCCTTGCATGGAAAATGTCAATTCAAACAAAGTTGAAGCGGATAGCCTCCGCAACTCAACGACAGCATGTCGTGCGGCAGCGCGGAGGAACACCGCCACGGACAACCTTTCGGGGTGCCGGGAGACGGTCGACTCAGAAATCGCTTTCCTCCTATTGGCTTCTGAACATGTCCTAATCTTGCAACTGTCAACCCAATCTTGGCGCGAAAACACCAGTGAGTCGTACTCCAAGAAACTGTTTGCCATTTCTACGGTTCGGGGTCCGAGATTATTTTAGGGCCTAAACCCAATACAGACGTGCCTCGCTGACAGGCGAGCGCCACGGATCGCTGCGGGCGGGAAAGGCGACGGGACTAAACCGCTTTTTGGTTGTTGTTTCCTCTTTTCTACAATCCCAGAACACGGCCAACAACCTTCTGTTCCATGAACATCTTGGCGGCGGATGGCTGCAGGGTCCTTCTGTTGTCGATCGGCCTGAGACGCCCACGGTACCTGAGGACTTTTGACACGTCTCGTTTGGCGGATGTGTGATCCTTCCACGGCATGTCTGTTCTGGAACGCCGCCATATTGTCCAGAACGCCAGTCGCCCTGCGTGCATTTGGCGCCCTTCCGATCAGGCTTGAACTCGACGGCGACCTCGACAAGTTGTCAAGCCACTGGCTTGCACTCGACAGCAACCTCGACAAGTGTGCAGCATCCGTTAATGGAGCGTCGGAGCCGGTGCAGAAGAGACCCGTTTGTACACTCCAGCGAATAGTCTGGTGGCCATCGACGTTCCAGGAGCAACCATGACCGAAACACAGAAACAAACTATGTTACATGAACTCCACGACGCCCGCCTCTAGTCTACCGGAGACAACCGACAATCCAACAATCCCACTGCCCCCAATGGAGGTTCACCGTTATGGCGAGCGTTTTCCCAGAAGCAACAGAAGAACACTATACGTCCACGAAAGCATCCGCCCAAAACTACGAAGCATGCAACTAAGCTCCTAGTGGTCCTGGTGGGCAGTCGAAGAAAACGTCAACCGAGAAGGCAATGTTATCCATCAGAACCACGCAAATCAACCCATTCAACAAATCCTACGGAACCATCTCAAACCGTTTACTCGAACCGAAGTCAAACGGAAGCTCGCCACCAGCTCAAGTGGCGTGCCAGAAGCAACCCGAGAATCTGAGACGCTGATGAAATCTTCCACTTCCAAAGACAACGACAACCAACATCCTGGGAAACGACCCAAGCAAAACCGATGAAAGCTGCAAGGAATCCCACAAAACCAAGTCGAATGACGTCCAAAAGAAGTCTTCTCTGTGAAATCTCCTGTCCCACCCTGACTTCTTTGACGACAATCGCACACCAAGACCCAAGCAAACGTAAACAAACAAATAAGCCTCAATGAAACGTCCGAAGACCACCCCCCAGCCTTCCCCTCCCCCCCCCCCCCTCTGCCCTGCTCTCTCCGAGTCGACCGCCCCGGCCTCGACGAAAGCCACGAGTAGAAGCAGAAACGTCGGCGAGGAAGGGAGAAGCGCACAGCCTGACAACACAAACAAACGAGTTGACCGAGTTCTCCGCGAGATGCTCGCAAATGGAGCTCTTGCAGCCACACAAACGCTAAACATCGCGTGCGGAGCATCGTTTTGCCCAGGAGATTTTCGTTAAGTCTTCGAGAACCCGCGACACGTCCGTTCACCCACAGCGAGCGATCCTGGACAAGTCGACGGCCACAACGAAAGCTCCATTCAATTACAACCACACACCTTCATTTGACCAACCGTGCGGAGACCGCACAACGAGTCCGGCCACTCACAGCGAGTAGTCCTGGACAAGTGGAAAGATCAGCTCGGGGATTATCCCTCCTCATCCGACGGGACGGGCAATGCTATAATCTCGCGAGGCGGCACCGCGACATTGAGGGCCTCCAAGAGCCGCGTCAGAGCTGCAAACGCTTCCAGCAAACGCCCTTGATGTCCCTTCAATGCTGCAGGCGGCGCAGGATCATCGTGATTAGGACGAAAGGACATGCGCAAGATGGTCAATTGCGCGAAGGCCCAACCTCGATCGGCAGGTGTGCTCTCCACCACTCTCTCCAGTTCTTCCGGGTCTGTCAGGCGCTTCAGCAGAAGATCGCCTGCTTCAGGTGCGACTGCGGCAATGGCGAGATTACATATGTGCAATGCCGGGAGATCCGGCAAGTCGCGAAGCGCCAGAGACAAAGTATTGTACTCAGTGCGCACATCCGGATTGCACGGCCACCGCAACGTTGCCATGGCCAGGAGGACTGCAAGTCAACTCGAGAGATGGCACTGCAGAATGTTGACATGTCCGAGGAGGTTTACTTGAATTCCAGCAAAACACCTCAAATTCTTCGCTTCCCAGTTTACGCAGCCCACCTCCGAAAACAAACACAACACGATGGCACTCAATCACGAAGAAATTCCGAATCCCGTGAAACCCAACAAACCGCACCGTGATAACCCCGAGGACGCGGATCTTGCTAAGAGACGACCCTCCTGGCCTCGCGGGAACGAGCCATCTATGCGAGGGGAGCGGCCTCGCCACGTGCTTTCGGGTGGGGGAGTGGGGGGGGGGGGGGGGGGCTGGCTTAAACAGGGTCTATTTGGAAGCTGGCATTCGGGCTTTGCTGTGGTCATATATCCTCACACGAAGGCCGGCGAGCTGGTCCCAGCGAGCTAGGGCACGTATTGGAACAACATTCTGTTAATGTCAGGTTTGTGTCACAAGACCTGAGTCGGACAGCAAGCTAACACAAAGAAAGCGGCAAGCAGCAACCAAACAGGCCCCTCCAACTTCACGAGAATTCAAAAATCTGCGTTTACCCATCGGTCGGAAAGAAAAGAACTCCTCTCTCTCTTGATCAGGGGATTGGATCCCGAAAAGATGGAGAACAGCATACGCACCAGAAGAAGAAACCTCCGTTCTCTCTTGGCAACGGAAAGAGATCTTGATTATTTCCTTTACCTTTTCAAAAGATGGACAAGGGCATACGCTCAAGAAGAAAGGGCGGAGATTCCCCACCCCTCAACGAAAACACGGAGAAAGTCCCTCCAAGTCATTCAGCTGATCTCTAGCAGCGAGCTCCTCTACCTCTTGGTAACTCTCCATCTCCTCTGACGATAAATGAAGAGAGCTCGCTGCTTCGTCATCCGCAAGAAATGAGCTTCTTTTCTCCAAAAGGGTAAGGAAGAGATCCCTTGGCACATCCCCTACCGCAGCATCTCCAAGGAGCAGAGAACCCTTCCAACTTCACGAGAAAAAAGGAACTCCGGCTGCCTCCTAGTCGACAACAAGAGAGAGGATCTCCTTGTCGTCCCCTCTTTCTCCTCAAGGGATAGAAGAGAGATAGCTTTCAAGAAGTGAGGACTGAACTGTCTCAATCTTCAAAAGAAGAGTCTGGTCCTCCCCTTAGCCTTCAACAAGACATGAGCAGCCCTCTACCCCGTCCTCTGAATTAGCTCCCGAAAAGACAAATCCTCTGCCTCATCCTCGACAAGAAGAGACTGAGAGCAATCTAAGGGGGCAGAGGAAAGCGCCATCTCAACAAATCAAGCAGGCCGCTCCAACTTGACGAGAAAGAAGAGGGCTCCGTTTACCCTTCTGCAACAAGAGACCTCCTTTCTTTCTTGATAAGGGGGGGGATGCTCAAGAAGAAAGGGTGGAGCTCCCCCCAATTTTCAAGTAGAGACATCTGGTCATCCCTCAGCCTTCAAAAGGAAAAGACCTCATGCTCCAAAATAAGAAGAGAGTCCCCAGGATATTCGTGGCAACAGAAGAGAGCATCCCTTTTTACCTCTTGGTATGTCGCCTTGTCGTCTTAATTAAGAAGATTGAAGAGACATCGCTCCTAGCAAGAAAGGACAGGGCTCCCCTAGCTTCCAAAAAGAAAGATTTTCTACCTCATCCTCCACAAGAAATCACTGAGAGCTTCCTCCTATGCAATGAGGCGTAAGAGAGCTCCATCTCAGTCCAGCAGACAGGCCCCTCCAACTTCACGAGAATTCAAAGGTCTCCGTTTACCCATCGGTCGGAAAGAAGATAACTCCTTTCTCTCTTCATAAGGGGAGGGGATCTTGAGCATTTCTTTTGCCTTTTCAAAAGATGGAAGACAGCATACGCACAAGAAGAAGAAACCTCCTTTCTCTCTTGGCAGTGGAAAGAGATCCTGATTGTTTCCCTTACCTTTTCAAAAGATGGAAAAGGGCATACGCTCAAGAAGAAAAGGCGGAGATTCCCCCACCCCTCAACGAAAACACGGAGAAAGTCCCTCCAAGTCATTCAGCTGATTTCTAGCAGCGAGCTCCTCTACCTCTTGGTAACTCTCCATCTCCTCTGACGATAAATGAAGGGAGCTCCCTTCTAGTCGAAGAAGACAAGGCTCAACGCATCTCCAGTTTCAAAAAGAACTGCGGCTGCCTCTTATAGTCGACAAGATGAGAGAGGAGCTCCTTGTCGTCCCCTCTTCCTCTTCAAGGGATAGAAGAGGGATAGCTTTCAAGAAGTGAAGACAGAGCTCGCTCAATCTTCAAAAGAAGGGGAGGATCAGACTTCAACAAGACATGAGCAGCCCTCTACCCCATGCTCTGAATTAGCTTCCAAAAAGACAAATCCTCTGCCTCATCCTCGACAAGAAGAGACTGAGGGCTTCCTCCAATCTAATGGGACAGAAGAAAGCGCCATCTCAACAAAGCAAACAGGCCGCTCCAACTTCATGAGAAAGAAGAGGGCTCCGTTTAGCCCTCGGCAAGAAGAGACCTCCTTTCTTTCCTGATAAGGGGAGGGGATCCTGATTATTTCCGTTGCCGTTTTAACAATGGAAGAGAGCATACACTCAAGAAGAAAGGGTGGAGCTCCCCCCAATTTTCAAATTAGAGACAAGTGGTGTCCCCCTAAAGGTTGTTATAACAAATAAGTTCCAAAATCACAAATCGCAAGGGGTGTCCCCTGAAGGCTTTTGCGCTAAAGTAGATCCCGAAATACCAAATCGCAAGGGATGTCTCCCTAAAGGCTTTCGCGCAAGCTAGATCCCAACATGACGAATCGCAAGGAATGTCCCCTTATGTTTTGTAAAAACGCCGATCCCAAAATCACAGATCGTAAGGGGTGTCCCCCTAAGGTTTTGTGAAAACTCAGATCCGCAAAACACAGATCGCAAGGGGTGTCCCCCTGAAGGTTTTTATATCAAATAAGTTCCAAAATCACAAATCGCAAGGGGTGTCCCCCTAAATGTGTTTGTAACAAATATAAGTATCAAAATCACAAATCGCAAGGGGTGTCCACCTAAGGTCTTGTAAGAACTCAGATCCCAAAATCACAGATCGCAAGGGGTGTCCCCTTCAGGTCTTGTGAAAACTCAGATCCGAAAACCACAGATCGCAAGGGGTGTCCCCCTAATCCCTGCGAGCCGCGACCGAGCAGAAAGCCTGTAAATACCGCGTTAAAACAACGGCCAGGGATCCCACACATCTGCGGGCAAAATCTGGCGGAAGTGATGCACCACCGAGCAAAATGCCTGTAAATACCGCATTAAACAAAGGGCCAGGGATTTGACACATCTGTTGTCAAAATCTGGCGGAAGTGAGCAGTCGGTACTTCCGCCAGATATTGCCAACAGATGTGCGAAATCCCTGGCCCTTTGTTTAATGCGGTATTTACAGGCTGTTTGCTCGGTGGCGGATCACTTCCGCCAGATTTTGCCCGCAGATGTGTGGGATCCCTAGCCCTTGAAGTGGTGGGTGAGAGGGTGGTGGGAGGGTGTTTGGGAGGTAGGGTGGGCAGGAGGTGGAGGGAGTGTGAAGTGGGAGGAAGGGTGGGTGGGGGGGGTTGGGACGATGGGTGGGCGCTGAGGGTCGGTCCCCGGCCAGGATTTAAATTGTTTAAATTATTTGAATTATTTAAATGGGGCCGGGAATTAAATAATTTAAATAATTTAAATAATTTAAATAATTTAAATAATTTAAATCCTGAAGGGGAGGGGTCCCCGGGGGTCCAGGGCCGAGGAATTAAATAATTTAAATAATTTTTAATCCGGCAATCCGGAGCCCTTCCCCAGGATTT